TGAAGTTACTCCTCATTTGCAGATGGTTTTTAATACATGGATAAGTTACATTAAGGTAGCAGATAAATAAAAAAACAGTATACATTAACTTTAATTCTGATTTGTACATCTAACTTCTCAATACAAAAAGCACAGTCTACGTAAATCAAAACGTTTATCGAATGCACAGCATGTAAGATTGACTACCAGATGTTGAGGAAGATAGCAGAAAAGTTCTCTCATCTCCTGGTTTCCTATTTAAAATACATAGTCTATGTGTACATTTTCTGGACTTTCTACTACATTTGCATGTGTCAAGGAAAAAAAGAAGAAAACAGGAATTCCCCAAAAAGTCCCAGAGCCCACCTACGTCAGACTTCACTTTTGAAATACTTTTGAAAAAGGCAGACGCTACAGTGTTGTGAGAGACAAACATGAACTATTATAGATTACTAAATGGGGTACTCAATACACCAGAGAGTGCCCTGCCATTAGCTCCTTCTGTTTTAAAGCAAGGTGCTCCAAAATCAAGCACTCCAGTAGCTCGCAGCTGTGACAGCACTGCATGAAGAAAGGCAGTTCCAAACAGTTCTGTCCAAACATTCTTGCTTTTATCTAAAAATTAATATCACTTTTCTTCACCACAAAGAGAATGTACATTAGCAAATAAATTACTTGAGTACATTAACCAGTCTATCCACAACCCAGTAAAACCACTTACTGAATGCTATGATGAAGACAGGAAAAAAAAGCACATGTCTTTGCCACCTATGAAGCCACAGTCTACAAAATACATACCAATGTACACAACAGTTATTCTAGCCTTCTGGGGAAAAGGACCACTTGAAGAATATGCACAAGTAACTACAGGATTATCTTACTATCTGCTCAAATAACCAAGCATGGTACAGGATTGGTGGACAGTAGGCAACGATTATCCCACAACAAACACTCATGCTTGATCTTACCCCCTCTAAACACCACCTCAGGAAGGAATTCCTCCTCAATAAAACATTCTATGATCCTGCAAGTTCTCACATTCAAAGCTACCAAAATATCAAGTGCTGACAGGATTTCCTGCCCCATGATGGTTTCACCCTCAAAAGGTAAGTGGACATTATTTTAATAGATCATGTGTTTAATTTTGTCCTCTTCTAGAAAGAGATTGAAACTGCAATATTATTAGGTTTCTGGTTTCTAGACCATATTTAAATACTTACACAAAAACTGTTTTTTCTTTTCCAGGGATAGCTCATGAAAAACTTCCCAAAATAGTTTAACTGTAGGATGGTCTGCCCAATATTCTCCTTTATACTCCGTATTCTTTAAAGAAAAAAAGTAAAAAAGTTATTTCTTAACCTCCCTAGGTACTTATATTATAAAGTTCTTTATCTAGGAGCACTTTAAATTTTTGTGAGCTCAACTCTAAATGTTTAACCCCAAAAGACGTTTTTTTCTTATTTTGGTTAGAAATGAATATCACTGTTACAACCAAAAAGTTCTAGCTCCAGTAAATTCCAGTCTCAGCGGACACGTCTATACTTGCCCCCCACGGCACAGTTGTTACTGAGCCATCATTTAGTACTTGCTTTAGGAAGTACTAAAGGACAGCACAATTACAGCCACTACTGTGCTGTACTGGCAGTGCATGGTTATTTTTAGCAGCTACAGCTATATAGCATCTTGTGTAGATGCTACAGCAACGTAGCATCTTGTGTAGATGCACCCACAGTATGTACATTCTGGTGATATAAAAATTCCCTAGGCATTTTAATTGTATATATTACTTTTCACTCCAAATGGCAAGCTGTTTAATACTGCACAGTAAAATTGTTTAACCAGCATATGATTCTATGATTCTAATATTTTATAGAAGCAGAATGTTGGCTGCCATGGTTCCACTGATTTTTCCTGTGGCAGGTTTGGGTGTTAAGTCTGTGTTGTCTTCTGCAGAGTTCAGATTATGATTGTATGGGATGGTTTGGAGAGGGATGATCCTGCCTCAGGCAGGAGGTTGGATCAGATGACCTCCGGAGGCAGCTTCCAGCCCTACTTCTCTTATGACTCTATGATCACTGCATTTCAACACTGGACATGCAGCGACTTACAAAGTACTTTCATAGTTTCATAGTCGTTAAGGGCTGGAAGTTGAGCTCTTTGCTCGTTTTAAGTATTTTGTTTTTCATGCATTCTGTCCAAATTAGTCTACTGCGCCCTAATGCCGCACATGCATAGATGGTGACGCTTTACTATGCGGCAAATTAGTCTGCTGCACAGTAAAGCATCTCATGTAGATAAACCCAAGTATTTTCTTTTGGCATTTTAAATCCGTATCACGTATCTACTACCTAAAATAAGATGCTTACCTTTTCCAGTTCCTTCCAATCATAATTTGTATTCCCAATCACCATTGCCTGAAGCTCACTGGGCTGAAAGAGCTGTAGAACCTTTCCTCCACAAACCTTGTGGAAGCCTGAATGGAATGCATTAAACAAGGAAGCCACTGATTTATTGAAGATGTAATCCACATAGGAATCAACAAATTCCTGTCTGTAGAGTGAAAAAACACAAAGCCAGTCATTTGAAAGTGGAACCTTTTTTGTTTAGACACACGCGCGCGCACACACACACACACACACCTTTCTATAAATAAATCTTAAATGTTTAGTATAAAATAGTGATTAAAAAATTATATTTTGTCTACAGTCTATGCTATAGGCATAATAGAGACACCCAGAACATAAATAAGCAGAGCAAAATGGTTTGATAGATATCTTTTGTGGCATTTTGACCAGCTGTACTTGAGTACAAGCATTTCTCATTTCTTGCCTGAAATTTTCATATTTTTTTACACATTCCCAATCTACTCAGTTTACTTATAGTTGTTGGATTTTTTTAATCCAAACATCAGTTTACAAGTATCCTACCAGCAAGTTTTTTTTCTGCCATGGTAATACATGCTTTTTATCAAGGACATACCACTGATCTAAAAAAAAAAAGATCCTTTGAACATGCTTTGCAAATAGCTTGCTATTTGTTTAAAGAGGTAATCCTGAAAATCTTTAGAAGTGTTACCTTTTGACCTAGTTATTATTCTGAATATTATAACAAGATTAAAACTGTGATGGAGACTAATACAAAAATGAAAGGTCCTTGTGGGCAGTGTTTTGAGAGAATTGTTCGGTGGTACAAGACAAATCACTGTAAACATTTATAAGGTACTTATGTTATACAAATAAACTTTTTGCCTCTTGCTTTTAATTTTATTTTCTTGAGTTTTGCATTGCCTTAAGAAACTCCGTTTTGTATTGCTCTGTAGTTTGACATAAGTGCTTGATCTTTATATGCTGTATGTGAGAGAGAATGAATGAGAGCGTATTTGTGGAAAAGGAAAACATCAGTTGGCAACTGGCTGAAGAATGCAGACAGATAAAAGACCAAAACAAGAAGAATCCACCCTAGAACAGTGAGAGAACAACGGCAATTGACCTTCAAGGAAGAACACAGTGATAACACAGCAAAAGCCCAGAGGACTGGGTGAATTGACAAGGCTATAAAAGATGGGGTGAGACGTATCGATTTTAGGTCTTCTTCTGCATGTCATCCTGGAGCATCAGGTTGTCTGATAAGATGGAACGGCAGGAGCCCGGCTCCTACTCATGATCAACTTGGGTGGCCAATAAACTGACCTCAATACTGGTAAGACTGGTAATATATACCAGCACAGAACAGAAACTGGGGTATGAATATGGGTGTGGGTGGGTGTGGGTGTGTGTGTTTAATCCATAAACGCAGCATCTTGCCTTATCCCCCCTCATAAGGTCTCACTTGTGATTGGCAATTTGTGTAACACTCATTCCAAATGTGCACTGGGCAGTAATCAAAACTTTAGTATGTGTCTAATTTATGCAAATCTACAGTTAACAAATAGCATGCAAAATAACAAGTAGATGATAACCTACAAGCACAAATATATAGGTCCCCCCATAGAGAAACCCCACAAAGGCTAGCAGCACTGTTGAGTATTCAACTAAGACAATACAAGTCCATGATTAAAAAGGAACAAACAAAGACTGCATTTCTATTACAAAAAGGTGTAAACTTCATTTCCACGTGAGACCTCTAATCCTAATCCAGAACACGCTCAAATTATATAGATATAGTATGAAATCAGGTTTACAGCTGTCACAGCCAAAGTCAAATGGAAGTTCAAGCCAACCAGAGCGGAGTCCTCCCAAAATATTTTTTCATGATAGTAAGCCTAAAAGACTAACTGAATTTGGTAGAGACTTCATCTGTCTGAAAAACAAGAGGAACAGTAGGGCTACATGTATACCACTGCTGTTCTTCATTTAACTCTGTTTCAGGATGCAAACAAACTCATTTTTGAATGGGGAACCTGCTACAAATTATCAGATACAAATGACTAAATACTCCAAGAACTCTTATGTCAAAACTGAACAAAATCCCCATCTTGAAAAAACTGAGTTAACTAGAACTTAATGCATCAGGCTTTCATACAGTTGTACTTTTGCCCAAACAGATACCTAGTTCAAAAAAGGTTAGGGGGCTCTATTATGATAAATGGTGATCACTTAACTTACCAATTATCATCAACATTGCACTGAAAAGCATATGCTGAGGAGTTACCCAATTCCCTAACCATCAGAAGGCAGTCTTATGGAACTATGAAAGAATCACACACCATGTCTTTCTATACATGAAAAGTCCCTTTCCTACTTGTCTTCCCCATGAATTCTTTCACAAGGATCATAGACCCAGTGCTCCTAGAAGTGCTGACACTAGTCGATTTCCTTGGGAAAAAATATCTGCATGTCATAAAAGAACTAGGAGAAAACTCCAATCTTCAAGATGTGTGATAAACAGGAATGTAATTTTTACTGGTGTCTCAGGCATCTTATGGAAGTACGCAGAATAATGGAAAAGTAGGGTTGGAAGGGATCTCTTGTAGGTCATCCTCTAGTCCACCCCCCTGCATGAGGCAGGATCATTTCTATCCAAACCAACCTATAAAAATCCTTTGCTAATCTATTAGTAAAACTACAGAGTCAGCCCTGAGACCCTAACATGCCACAAGTAAAGCAGGGGAATAACAGCAGCCAGTATCCTGCTGTTGAAAGGTTGTTATACTCGAGAGATCCAAGAGGGCCACATCCCTTGCTACAGAGGAAGGCAAAAACCCCCACAGTTCTTACCAGTCTGACCATGGGGTAAAATTTCTTCCTGACCCCAAGTATGGTGATTGACTGACCCTGAGCAGAGGGGCAAGACCCTGTTGTCAGGAACATCCAAGTTTTATTCCCAAAAGGAGCACTGGCACACCCCAGTCAATCCCTAGCCTTGCCTGAAGCCAGGGCCGTCCCAAGGGGCGGGGGGGGGGTGCGAATTGAGGCAACCGCCCTGGGCCCCGTGGTTTGGGGAGTCCCGTGGACAGTGCCATACAGGCCCCACCACGACTGCCGCAAGCTCCAAACTCCAACTGCTTGCCACCCCCCGGCCCCACACGAGCCAATATGGGCCCCGCACACCCCTAGGGACGGCTCTGGCTGCAGCCAACACCCAATGCTTCTGAGGAAGACAAAAAACACCAAACCTCATACGCGTGGTAATAGGAAAGGAAAAAAATTATTCCTGCCTCCATGTGACAACCAAAGCTGAGAAGCATGGGAAATACCCATAGTAGAGCACAAGCATCTAGATCATCCAGAACCAATACTTATTCAACTTCTTCTTGAAAACCTCCAATGATAAAGATACACAACTTCCCTAGGCACTCTATTACAGTAGTGCCCAACTTTTTCAGCACATGGGCTGGATGAGCAGTGCCAGGTCTGTTTGCAGACTGAACCAGGTCTGTGGGCTCAATCTGGTGCACAGTGCTGATCCACACACTGCCCCATCCAGCCCTGCGGAAACAGCCTGTACAACACCACATCAGGTACAGTTGCTTCAGGCCCTGGCTGATCCATTACCGCATGGCTGGATCAAGCCCCAGCTCAATCCAACCATGCAGGAATGGGGGACATTTTTTCCACAGGGGGCCAGCCTGGCTGTGGCAGATCCAGCCGCATGGGGCTTGGAACCTTGGCAGCTGGAGAGTGGTAGCCAATGCTCCATCACCACCACATTTCCAGACCTGTGGGGATACCTGCAGGCCAGGGACAGAGCACCCCAGATCCATTCCACTGCCTCACTGTTCTAACAGTGAAGGAGTTTTTCCTGATATCCAGTCTAAACCTACTTTGATGCAACTTTAGGCCACTGGTCTGCATCCTCCTCTCTGCAGCAAGAAAGAAAAGGAGTTTTATCTCTACTTTGTTGTAGCCCTTTGGATATTCAAAGACTGCTAAAATATCCCCTCTTATGCACCTTTTCCTCAAGCTAAATATGCCTATTTCCTTCAACTTCTATTCACATGACTTGCCTTCCAAACCCTTTATTTTTGTCACCTGCCTCTGGACACTAATTTCTCCATGTCCTTTTTAAAATGTGGAGCACAAAACTTTGCACAACACTCTAGATGAGACCTAACCAGTGTTAAGTAAATTGGCATTAGCACCTCCTGTGTCTTGCACCTAATGCTCCTACTGATGCAACCTCAAACAGCATTTGCCTTCTGTGCAGCTGTCACTCTGCAGTCATACTGACAGGGATCTTTGCGCCGGAAGTGTGGAACATAGAGTGCTGACTTCTTTAATCTTAGAATTTACCCGTGCCCTTCCCACCCCCCGCCACTGATTGGCAGAGGGGCCCCCATCACTTGGCTGCCCACACCTGATGGCTGGGAAGCAAAAAACTGCAGTTTTAAATATGCTGCAGTTTTCGCCTCCCGGCTATCAGGCACAGGCAGCAAGCAGCGAGCAACAGGACCCCTCCACCAATCAGCAGCAGGGAGCACATGGGGGAAACTCCAAGATTAAAGAAGCTGTCACACTGCACATTTCTGGCATGAATTCTAGAGATCCCTACATATTGAGTCTATGATCCAGCAAGACTATCCCTCATCTTCTTTGCAGTACTGCCATCCAACCAGGTGTCACCCATTTCATATTTGTGTTTTTGGTTATTCTTCCTGAGGCATAGCCCCTTGCATTTGTCAGCACTGTACTTCACCCTGTTAGCTCCAGCCCAACTACCCATTCTGTCAAAATCCTTCTGAATTGAGCTCCTGTCTTGCAATGTGTTCATGATCCTTCCCAGTTTTGTCATCTGCAAAATTTGCTCAAGCAGCTCTCTAATCCAGCCTTCAAATCATTAGCAAACACACTGAACAATTCTGGACCCAGGTCAGATCCCTGTGGGGTTCTACTCAAAACCTCTTGCCATTCCAACTTAATTAATTTATAATAATCCTTTTCTTGCAACTATTGACCCTGTTGTCCATTCACCCTGTAGTCATTTTGTCTAGTCCACATTTCTCCAATATGTTATGAAAAAAACATGTAGAATCTTGTCAAAAGCTTTACTAAAGTCCAGATACACTATATCCATTGCATTCCCTTCATTCACCCAACTAGTTATCTTGTTGCAGAAGGAAGGCAAGTTTGCTTGGCATAATTTATTCATAGTAAATCCATGCTGGCTGCTTGTGATCAGCCTTTCCTCCTCCAGATGCTTGCAAATGAACTCCTTAGGTTATGCTCCAGTAATTTTCCAGGTACTGAGGTAAGGCCAACTGGTCTATAGTTCCCCAGGTCCCCCTCTGTTCCTTTTTTAAGGAGGGACTGTCGGCCCTTTGCTCGTCCTCTGGTACCATACCCATCTCCCAAAACCTTGCAAATATTACTGCCAAGGACTCGGAGATCTCCTCTGCCAGTTCCTCAGGTCCTGCTGACTTGAATTCATTCAGACTCATCAAAAGCTCACTCATTATTTTGTTATCAATCTTAACCTTGTCTTTATCCAAATATTTATTAGCTGTCTGGTTACAGATCAGTTTTTTTGTGAATACTGAGGCAAAGGAGTTGTTAAGTAGCTCACAATTTTAGCAACTTCTTTTAAGAGGTTGCACTGCCTACTTAAGAGCAGAGATGGGTCTTCCTTTCATTTTTCACAGAACCTCTTCTTGTTATCTTTAACTTCCCTCACCAGATTAAGCTAATTTTTTACCTTTGCTTTCCTGATTTTGCCCCTGTAGGTTCTGGCTATTTCCTAGTAAGCTTCCTTGGTGACCTGCCCATCTTTCCATTGCCTGCATGATTTCCTCTTGCAGTTGAGACATTCTAGAAGCACCTTGTTCCCAATATTGCTCTCTTACCATTCTCATGTTCCCATCATGTTAGAACTGTTACTTGTTGGGGTTCCCATACTGTGCCCTTTAGAAGATTCCAGCCCTCCTGGGTGCCTTTATTCTTCACCCATGACATCTCGCCTACTATCTCCTTGAGCCACTTGAAATCCATGTTTTGAAATCTAATGTATTAGTTCATAGGGTCAGAAGGGACCTCAACAGGTCATCGAGTCTAACCCCCTGCCTAGATGCCTATCCAGCCTTCTCTTAAAGACTTCCAAAGTAGGGGAGAGCACCACCTCCCTTGGAAGCTCATTCCAAGTTTTGACCACCCTTACCATGAGGAAGTTTTTCCTGATGTCTAGCCTAAATTTGCTCTCCGTCAATTTGTGACTATTGCTCCTTGTTACCCCAAGAGGCACAGTTGGATTTGAGGGTAAAAGGATCACAGAACAAGACAATTTTGGTGCAGGACTTTGCTCAAATAAGTTCCTTCATGTCTGTGCAAGTTAGAGACAATTCTCCCACTTCCAAATAGGGGCCTCCAGACTACTTAGGGTAAGCTGCTCTCTTGTGAGGCACCCTCAACACAGACTGTCAGAACTGAAAAAGTAGACAGTTCCCTCAATTTTTTTTGTTTCCTTCTAATGATGCAGGTGCAGGAAAAACTCCCATGTATCGAGCTACAGAGTCAGGTAGCTAGCTGCCAAACCAAGTATTTCTTCCTGTCCTCTTACACAACTCAATTCTATATGACTGAGTTCTGGTATCTGGTATCAAATGATATGCTCTATGCTCCACCTGGGCCCAGCCAGGAAGGGAAGCCTGGGTAGCTTGTTTTGAAAAACAAATAAGACAATGAAGGAAGTGCTCAACCAATAAATAAAATAAATGCATGTCAAGGAAAGAAAGGAACAGAGGGAAGAAAGATAAAACTAGAAGTAAGGCCCTTCATAATAGGATGGGAGGTGCAACTCCCTATTTGATAGGCAGAGGGATCATTTCATAAAATAAAATGTTAGTTTTTAAATGCTGTAAAATCCAGGACAAAAAAAAAAATTAAAAGATCAACCCTCACATGCCTTAAGATTCTTATTATCAAACTAATTCAACTTCTCTGCAGAGAGAAAAACTGATCCCCAATTGCATTTCCCATAGTGAGAAAAGCTGCATCTAGATGGAAGCTGTCTCTGCAACTGAGTACATTCTCACTGGCAAGAACATTCAAGTTAAACAGTCTACAGTCTCTTCAAAGTTAAAAGTTACCTTCCCTAATGAGATGAATGTAACAAACTACTTAAGTCTGTAAAATGGAGAACATGGTCAAGATGTGGTCTAGCAACTTCCAAGTTAAAATTCTATACTTCAAGCAGCAAAAAAAAAATTAATAAATTACATTGTTTTCTCATGGCAGTCTATATGGTGTGCAGGGCAGGTTCCTTCAGAGCAAATGAAAATTATTTAAAGCACTATGCAGGAGATAAAGCACGAGCAGGAGGGTGCTCAATGACTGCCGCACCTCCACTGTCAGAATTCACTTACCTATTTTGTTTGACTACAGGAATGTCAGCACCATTCGGAACAAGCTCTTTAATTTCTGTTGTTCCAAAATTTTCCACGGTGATCTGTTTAAAACAGAATTCAGAGTAAGTTTAAGTTACTGTTCTAAAATAGGCCTCTGCCATTAACTTAACCCAAAACAGCAACTTACTAACTTTAACACAGAAAATCATGTGAACGTAAGTTTTTAAGAGAAGAGCAAGTTGTTTCTGCTAACATATACTCTGTCAGAGGCAGTTACTTGTTAAAAATGCATGTAAAATACTTCAAAGAAAATCAAGCACTTACTGTAAAGTTGAGACAAAATGTTTCTTCTATGTCATCCTCTGGATAGTCCAGTAACTGCTGCATACTCCTGCCAAATAATGTATGTAGTCTTCAGCTCAATGTTTGAAAGATTAAACATGTCACTTAGGTTTCTGAAGAACATGTTTCTACAGCTCTACCAGTTATCTTCTGAGTGTGCTCTCAGAATTCCCTCAGTTGGACAACTTGCATTTAGAAGTATGTTGCTGGGAAACCCACTAGTGATAAACAGGTCATTTAAATTACAATGCAACAAAGTTGTACTAGAAACGGTTTCTTGTTTTTTCTCTCTGGGTCAACAATTCTTTCCAACTGTCTACTCTGGAAGCAAGGTGCAAGTTGAGAGGTTCTTCTGAGGTAAAAATGAACAGAAGGGTCCAAAGTGCAAAGAGGCAGGATTACCTGGGGGAGAAGTAGGGGTGCACCAATAAAGATTTTCTTGGCCGACACCGATAGCGGATTATTAACCAGCCATATCAGCGGATACTGATCTGGTAACCGATTTACAGGAATGCAGCTGAACAGCATGGAGGGCAGCTCCCTGCAGGTAAGTCTGTGGAAGGGCAGGTGTGTGGGGAAGAGAAGGGACATGGAGGGGGAGCAGATCAAGGCCCCAACAGTGAGGGAGGGAGTGGGCCAGGGGCTGCGGTGCTGTCCAGCCAGGGCAGTGAATGGGACCCTGGGACTGCAGCAAGGAGCGGGACAAAGCCGCTGGCAGGTCATCCAGGGGATCAGTGTCCCACTACTTAAAAATGGCAAGAGAGGTGCCACCATATTTAACTGCAGGGACACTTAACTGGAGCAGAGCTGAGCAGGGCAAGGGTAGATGATGCGGGGTGACTGCTGCAGGCTCCGGGCTTTCCACCCTCCTTGCCTTTGCTCTGGGGGCCCTGCACCAGCCACGCATCCCCTTCCCGCCCAGCAGTGGGAGGTACAACTCGCTGCCCCCACTATCACCGAGAGGGCAAGGGTACAGGCCTCCTGAGAGAAAGCAGCAGAGCAGAGAGCCCTGAGCCTACAATGAGCAGCTTCCATCCGCCCCACGCACAAATCAGGGGGAGCACATGCCCCCCTATGCTTCCCCTGGGGGGTACGCACAACAGCAGGGAGCCGCCCCTGCTGCAACCCCGCCCATGCCCTGTGGACGAGCCGCCCGCAGCTGTCCCACTCCCCGCCCCGGGTCCCATTCATCACCATGGTTGGGCAACACCCGCAGCCTCAACCTCACTCTCTCCCTCACTGCCTCAATCTGCCCCTCCCTCTCCACAGACTTAAAAGGGAGCTGCTCTCCATGCTGCTCAGCTGCATTCCTGGCCATGTGCATGTGTGTAGCTGCGCACATGTGTGCGGAATCTGGGGGCCCCAGCCAGAAGGCATATTATATTCAGAAGGGAATGTTATCGGCTACACTGGGCAAAAAGCCGATAACGTTAATTTTCCAGTGCTGATCCAATATGCTGATCCAGTGCACCTCTAAGGAGAAGCCAAATGATGGGAGCCTGATCCCTCCTTCTACAGTCTAAAATAATCCCCAACCCTTACAGGTATATAAAGGTTCTACATAAAAAGAAAAATTTTAGTGTTAAAAGGGCTCAATTCTGCAATGTAGTGAGGGCTTTTGAGGACAACTGACTTGAATGGAAGCTGAAGTGCTCAGCATTAAAAAAAAAATTAAAAAAAAAAAAAAAATCAAAAAAAAAAAAAAATCAGGAAACTAAATAGAGATAAGCCGTGATTTATCCAGTCCTGGTAACAGTATTTATGGTGTTTTATTTTGATTCCTCATATTGTTATAACAATGCATCTGTATATAAATATATCTTAAAATATTTTTTCTAGCTTTTCCATATCCCTGTCAGTCTGGCTTTACCAGACCAATACCATACCAATTATGTATAATTGTTGCTGCAAGTTAGCCATACAAAAGAAAAACCACCTACACATAACAAAAGACTGCACTTATTTCTCTGGCTGATGGATGGTAACATAACTACAGGCCAAAGCACAGTTTAACTTTATTATATTGCCTTGCAGAGACGATGAGCAGGAGCAGAGAAGAATGTGGAAGAAAACACAGAAGTGTTTAATTGGGGTAAAAACTAAGTAATAGCCCATCAACCATCTCTGAATCCTCCAAAGAGGGTTTCATTTGTGCCAAGACTATAATAATTCATTTTATTTTGGGGATATATGGTGTGATTTAAAGATGAGGAGAAATGCACATAAATTTAAAAGCCAAAAAAACCTGAATATAGAGAGGTTTTTTCCCCCTCCTGAATGTCCTTGTTCTGAAAAAGATAGGAAGCAGAGATATTCCAAACACTATTCTCAGTGACCCAGGCTGAGTATAGTTTACCATTAAAAATGGGTAAATTCATAACATGTATTTGGTTTGGAAATAAACTACACAGCATGTCCTCAAACTAAATAAGTTGCCCTATACTTATATTCAAAGTATATCTATAAAATTCATATATGAACCTCAATTAATTTTTACCTATACAATTCAGATAGTTTAAAACTAGAAAAATGTAACCACAAAACTAAACAACTGAAAACAGAAGTTTAAAAATAGGGTAAATATAATCTCAATTTTTCTAGTAGCTGGAGAGTGCTAGTTTGAGGAGTTTTGTCCTTTTACTCAGATAGTTATTTGTTCCCTTATATCATTACACAAAACTATATAGTATATTAAAATAAAAACGACACAGTGCTCTTTTTCATTCAGTTGTTATCTTCTCACCTGCCAACATCAGGCATTAACTCTTTTAAATCATCCAGAGAAGGCTTCTTATTCAATAGCTTCTTGTACAAAGCCAAAGGGAAATGAAGGTCTATAATGGTAAAGTTATATATTGCTAGCCCACAAACAACACCAATCAAGTGGAACAAGTCACTGTCTTCAAATGTCTACAAAGAATAGAGGAGAGGAAAATTAGAAAAAAGTCTTATGCTTACAGAAAATAAGACAAAAAAGTTACACTACATCATTACGTTACTAACTTTGGTTAACAATCAATATTTCACTATTCAATCATTTAACATTTAGGTTCATTACAGGAAATTGTCACCAAAAAAAAAAGGCTAGATCCACTGCTGACCTTTCTAGACCTATCACCAAAGGGGTAGGCACAAAGAAGTTTGGCTGTTGTTCAGCGCACCTTAGATACCCCAAAACAAAGGCATCAAAAATTAGTGAAAAACTGAAAGAAGTTAGGCACTAGACACTCAGGTGTTACTTTATGAATTAATGGCAAAGCAGGAATCAAAACCAGGTCTCCTAACTTCCAGTCCACAATCTATTCACTGCTACAAAAGCCTATACACGAGACTTCATAAGGATAAAAGAGCCACCTGATACACTGCTACTTTTTTTCCAGCGTCTTGCTCTGTAAAACAGTTTGGGCTCTTTGTACGATCTTACTTGTTTCTAGTACAGCTAAAGAGCTGCAGGTCTGATGCTCCAGGAAATGTATGAGACACAAGGTTGGACTTTTTTGTGGTATCTTTTATTACACTAGCTGTACATTTAAGAGAGATTTAACAAGTTTTTGGATACAGACTCCTGAAAGCTTGTCAAAATTCTCCCCCAACCACACAGTTGGTCCAAAACACAACATACCAAACCCTTGCCTCTGTTGCTTTTTCTGGCATTTTTGGTTATTGCACTCTTGTGGGGGATGAAATCTGACTTGGGAATAAATGGGGAGTGCAGATATGTGAACGGGGAACCTTCTTTGCAATAATTTTTCTGTTCATCTACCACAAATATTTTCTTAAGAATCTGCTATCATTATATTCCATTTTAAAATAGAAAGGGAAGTTGTTCACTGTGACCTAAAAATAGTACCTTATCAGAGAACCAGATCAGCCTGGACTCTTCATAATACCTGAACATTCCATACTTGGGATCTAGTAACTCTCTCATGATGAGCAAAAAAAATTCTTTGCGAACGCCTCCTGCATCAACAGCTTCTTCTCCTACAAAAATAACCTGAAATGGGCACTTCAGTTAGCACAGAATATAATAAAAGGAATGCAGAGCACATTTCGACTAAACACACACTAAAACATAGCACACATTAAAAAAATTAAGCTAATTAGCATTGAATAAACGGACTTTAAGCAGAGTAAATTGATACCTTGAGTGGTTTCTTGTAATCTAGATTCTTCGTTTTCCTAAGGACTTCCACAGCATCTCCTACAATATTGTCTCTGCGTACCATTAATATTAGACATGGATTGACAGATTCATATACTGGGAGAAAAAGAGATGAGAAATTCTGTCTGTGAGCCTGATCAACAGCCATCTGGGGGGGGAAAAAATAAGGTAAATCCTTACTGATAATCAACACTGCTAACATGACGTGTCCAACATTCAAATTCATCTACCAATTTATTTTTTATCTAGTTAGCAAGAGATGGTTTTCACCTTAATAAACTACTCCCCCACCCTTTAATGTCAGCAAATGTGTTTATATGTATCACTTTAATCTGACCAAGCAGGTTATTGCCTCACTCTAAACCAGTGAGTCTCTAAGGCTCTTGGCAAATGCCAGGCAAATGTGTACCTTTTAAAGGGAAGATGCAGCCCCAGGTCCTGGGTCACAGAGCTGCCAAGGTGGATCAGATAGAAGAGATACCCAGGTCCTGGACCTGGCACCCAGCACTGACCCTGTGGGATCAGGTAACAGAGTCCTGGGTCCTGGTTGAAGTGTGCAGCTAGGGACTGGGAAGCTCCCTGCTGCCCAGTTGTATGTTTTCCCTGCCCTGGAGCTCTCTCATTGCCCAGCTACACATATGCCATCAAGGGGCCCAGGTTCCCAGCTGCCTTTACCATAGACCCAACATCAGGCTCCACAGGGTGGCTTTAAAAATGTCTCTGTGCATGGGGGGAGCCCACAGGCTCTCCCTGTGGAGACATTTAAAGCCACACTGTATAGCCTAATGCTGCATGCTATATGTTCAAATGTGGGGAGCTTTGCAGCTTGTTTGCCATTTTATTGTACCATAAACCCTGCAAATGTGTAACATGTTGCAATTTATGTCATGACTGACACAATCACATGATAAACTTAACATCTAACAAGGGCCTAAGGGGCCACTCTTCCCTATATTCTGCCTGACTTCAGACTAACACAGCTAACCACCACTTTCTATCACCTTAGCATCAGTACTGAAGTGTGTAGTAAATCTTAAGCACTGATTTATACTCCAATTTAAAAAAAAAATGCATACAAAACAAAGCAACATCACAACTCATCCTTTCCTTTCCCTTTTTGTGTCCTTGTGTCAAGGTATTTAGCAGAATGCATAGATTCACTGGAACCTGCAGGCCACACCATAAGCACTTCTACTATGGCCTCTAATTTATCTACTATATATATACACACACATTAAGAAATTATTCCATTTATTTATTTATTTATTTTACATTTCCCCCCCTCTTTTTTTTTTTACATTACTTCCACTCCTGCCATTTAGTCTCCTCACCAAACACATGACCACTCTAAACAAAATATTATTGGGAGTATACTAATTAAGAGTACAGAGTTCCTAAAAGCTGATTAAATATCAACTTTGATGCACTTAAAATATTACCATTTCTGTGAAAAGAAACAAAAACAGGGTGAACATTTTTCTTAAATTCCCCCTCTTATTTTTCTGTTCATTGGATATCTCCTGACTGACTGTTCAGCACTAATGACAAGTACAAGCTTTGTAAATACCATATTTTTTTATATATATTTTGGTACAAGCACAGATTCTCCTTTTTCCATCTAACTCCAACTTCAAGACATTAGTTGTTTTCACTATAAGCAAACCAGTATAAAAGAGATAACATAAAACAAGGGATGGGAGGGTTTAAGGGATGCAGTATTTGGGCAGAGGATCAAATTCGATCTACTGAGGTCCCTTCCAACTTCAACAATCTATGAAATCTATGAACTATTATGCCAGTATAGCTTTCTCTTAGCATTCCTTCACTTGTTTCATCCCCTCTATATATGCCAGTATTAAAAAAAAAAAAAATGACCCTATTATCATAAACAAACACCAGCCTACAATTTAAGAATTAGCACCGGAAAGGTTATTTCAGTGTTCCTAGGAACACGGAAAAACAAAGGAACAAAAAAACTCTTCCAGTGGTAAATTACAAAATACTTATACTCCCTCTCCCTGCACCAAACACTCAGTTATAGATTAATCTTATCCAGAGTAAAAGCAAAACTGGACTAGGTACTAGCAGAAACTGCACAATATGAAAATATAATGGATAATGGCATTAAACATGAAAATAGCCAAGGATTAATTAACATTAACTGTGATTAACAGTAAAATGTACAAATTGCAATGATTTTTCCAGACTATTAAATCTGTTTTCACCTCCCACAAAAGTCGCATTTAAAACTATCAAGTCTAGACTTTCTCACTGTATTACAGATGCAGATAAACCACGCCTTTCGTGGATTGTGATAGCTCAGTGGTTCCCTAACCTTTTGAGTCACACACCCTTTTAACGTTTTAGCACTTTGTATCCCTCTGATTCCATATTATGGATAATAAAAAGTGACCCTTATATGTCACTAAAACCAAACTGTAGTCTCTCCAACCACTTAAGCTAAGTACAGACAAAAAGTCTGAGGTTAAATTGATTCAATCTTTGCAGGTTAGTCTAAGCTGTGTAAACTAAACTGATAAGCAAGTGAAGAAACATTCACTTTTGATTCCGGAAATGCAGGCACATGCCTACAGTGGCCTATGCCAGAAGCTGGGGGGCACTAGAGCATGCCTCCCTCCCTGCTTTGCTGGAGCAGACAGCTCGGGTAAAGACTAGCCTGTCCACCCTGCCAAGGGGCAAGGGGGATTGCAGGGAGGTGCAAAGTATCCTGGGATGCTGGGGGACTGTGAGTTAACTTCAATCTGGAGGGGATCTGGGACAGAAGTTCAATAAACTGATTTAACCTAGATCAGTTACGGTTGATGCTACATCCAGGCAGGTTTACCTTAAAGCCAGTTTTGGTCATTTTGAAAGCGGTTTATGTGCACTGAACTTCTGTTGTGTTATAGATTTGAACCAGTTTCCAATCACTTATACCAAATTATGTGTAATTTCTGTCCCGAGCTTTAAGATATGATACAAGTTTTGTTCATTTGTCTTTCTATTCTCTGTTCCTATGTATTTTCTCTTTTCCTCTTCCTACCTTCCCATTCTTTCCTCTTACATACTCCCTAGAATTTCCCAAATATCTCCATGTGCAAGGATATGTGCATTTTCAATTGAGAAATATGGTGTTAAGCAAAGTTTTAGCAGAAAAACACCATCTAGCTAGTGAAACAGGAGAGGAGAGAAGTGTCCTACAAACATGATTATGTTTGTGATTATCAAAAGTATATGATTTCAAGCAGGCACAAAATTCCAAAAGAGGTGGGGGGGGGCAAAGAGAAAAAAGTCCAACTATTTCTATTTATACCCTCAAATTACCTGTATATAAAAAGCAAGAAACATTCGTTTTCACAGTATTTGAATATTGTTATCCCTTTAGAATTTATTTTTTTTGAAGTGAAATACTCTTACCTGCATCTGTAAGACTGCATCTGTTTGTAAGAGTGTCGTTTTTGCCTGTGCATCAAACACAAAGGGGTATGTGCAAATTGTAACTGGAATCTCTGCTAGCTAGAACCAAAAAGAGAAAAATATTAGCATGCAGAGTTCTGAAATGGTATTTAAAGTTTCAGTTTAGTTAGAAAAATGGCATTGAAAAATGATTCTACTTTAAACTCTTTGACATTTATGATTTATCAGAAGAATTCAATTTACAACTTCATAAGTTTACTTAAAGGAATTTTGTAGGGTCGCATTTCTGATTACACTCATGCTCATTAAAAGATCTACTTAAAAGTTGTAGTTAAAAATTAAAATTGACAGGCATATATCTTAATTTCTGATTTCCTTGCACCCTTCAACAGCAACTAGATTACAACCAATCTTACCTCTGTTAATCCATGATTGATGTCCTATGACAGCATTGCACAAACGTAGCAATAATTAAGATGAAAAAGCAGCATTAGTGTCTGCATTAATTATTCCTCTTGGAAGCAGCACTTCAAATATTTAGCTACAGTATTTTTAAAGGAGTTACCAGGGAAAGCAAAAAACCCCATAACGTTTATTTGGGATTAACCCACACACTGTAGCCAAACCTATGATAATGGCTTTTAAAAATGCTGGCATTTTATACCTGCCTGCTGCATAGCTATGCAGAAACCAAGCTCTATGTATTCTCATTTGTCAAGATATTACAGAACATTAGAGCAACAACATTTTAATACAACACATTCAGACTGCATGTGCAAAAGCACATAAAGACATGAAAACAGGTGTATTATATTTCCACTATTTGCAGTTCTACTGTACTAAAAGAATTAGAGAAGAGATTGTATATGAAAAGTATAATACTAGGATATAAGTTATAAGTCTGTTTTTGGCTTGTTTTCCTCACCCGCTGCTGAATGATAAAGGTTCTTGTCAAGACCAGGAAATATAAACCAATTACAACAATTTTTAAAAAAGATCAAAACAATGATACATAAATACCACCAGAATTGTCTGAATATGCAACTTGCAGAGGTTATTATAACTAACTATCTACCAAGGCTTTTTTTTAAATTCCTTAATGAGTAAAGATAAGAACCTAACAAGGTCTTCACATAAGACAGAGAAATGCATATTCATGGAGCTTTGTGGAATCCTGACTTCTCTTATTTTCTCTTCTAATCATGCTTTTCACTGATGGTTTTTTCAGGCAATATCCCAATTATTTAGAACAATTCTGGAAATTAATACTTTATTTTTAGATCCTATCTTGTTTCATCTTACCACTGAAGGTAAGCACTGATGGGGCTCCTACTCAGATGGTAAGAGCTCAAGAAACTTACAAGCGATGTTTCCCAAGTGTAGGATATACTACTGTATATAGTACTGTGACGCACCAAAAATCCAGCACGTTGGAACAGACTTCATTAATCAAGTCTGCGGAAGGCGCAAGCTGACACACCCGGTACTGCATTGCATGCATTTGCATAAATGGTGAAATGTGTGTCAGCGCACAGAAAATGGTGGTGGTGCACTTTTGAACTAAAATACCTTTGATATGTTTTAGTTCAAAAGTGTGCCATTGCTATTTTCTCAGCGTTGATTGCCATTTATACAAATGCATGCATCGCAGCGTACGCAGGTGTACAAAAGCCCTAACAGACCTTTGACCTTGCTAGTACAAAATGCAGAATTTGGAATTACAGGTTGAACAGAAAGGCATTTAAAAAAATTGAACACAAGAGAAGAGATTTACCACATTCCTTTGAATTTACAAATGCAGTAATACCCAGCTGATCTCCTGAAAATGGCCTGCATCTTAAAGTAGGAAATAAATAACAGTTGGACATTTGGAGAACACACACCAATGCAATTTGAAAAAGAAAAACAGACACACACAAGCTGCATGACCAGAAGATAGACCTGGTTATCATTTCAAGTGAGATGACATCACAACTTCAGGCACTAAATGTCTGTGAAAAAAATGTTTAAAGATGAACTTAAAAATCTGTATCAGATGGCTTGCGAATGTTGCAAATACAAGGAACAGCGGATGCCAACTGGACAAAAGTGCTACAACCTCTTCCTCTCCTGTGTGAATGGACTATTAGGGCCTGGAACACTATACAAACAGAATGTGGTGTGTTCTTTAAAAAACAAACAAACAACCAGCAAACAAACAAAAAAACCCACATAAACCAAAAAGTTGTATGAGAACACAAGATGGAACTGCCCAGAAGACATCAAGTGATAAACAGTAGGGGTGTGTGAAGTGGGCAGTATTCGATTCGGATTCGGCCCAATTCAGGGGAAAGTGATTCGATTCCGATTCGGCCATAGACACAGCTTTACTTGTTTTTTCTACACACCTCAAGGTACCAGGTGTGGCTCGTGAACACTGAGATGGTGGGGCAGATGGAGCATCCCAAAGGAGCGTGTCATTCCCCCTCACCACCCCTCCCCCCACGTGCTCAGCGGTGGACCCAGAAGTGGACTGGAAGTATTTCTGGTCCGTTTCCGGGTCCACCGCCAAGCACGCAGGGGATACCCCCCCGCACCACCCTGGCTTGGCGATTAGCTGTGGGGGAACCCCAGGTGTCCCCCCAGACCCAGGAGGCACCAGCTGCTGAG